TGGAACTTACGGTTCATGAGGCCCCAGCCAGTGACGACACATTCCGTTCCGGGACGGGGCACGGTGATCTCCGGCAGGCAGACGGGGCGGGTCTTTTCGTTGTAGGTGGTCTGTTTGCGCAGTTTCGGATCCAGCTTCAGAAGCGCAATGTCGTGCTTCTTCGTCTCTGAAGAGGTCGCAGGGAGGTCACAGGAGGTAAGACGGAGGCCACGTGGAAGTCACGCAGAGTCGGTGACGGCCTTGCAAGGATTCGCGGGAGTTAAACAAGCTTAAACGAAAATTTAGGACTGAACGTTTGTCGTCGTCGTCATGTCGTTGGACAAACAGGAGCTTGGGATTTTTCATAATTCCATAACCCATGCACAAACATATATGGTCATTATGAAAAACTGGCGCTCCCACTTTTAATGTTTTACCATCATGACCAGCACAAATTGCAGTATGCCGGAGTTTATAACCAAATATGACAAGCGTAGGCTCATTACAGAGTCATGATACCGGCCTTTTGCTGAAGTTCTGTTGACATGAATGGAGGGGGTACGGAGAGGTTATGCCTTCCTGAGTCAGGTTATTGGGGAAAAATATATGATGTACGATACGGTATATGTTTTTGGAATATGACATATGTAACAAGATGATATGTGCCGGCCGTTTCGATGAGCATAAGCGTGGAGAAAAGTAAACGAGCGCGGATGGTTCGTTACCTCTGTTGTACCCAGGATGTACGATGATCTTGTCGACAAAGAACGTGGTCTCCATGGGGTCCAGGTCGTCCAGGTCATGGTCGCCGAGGATGACCATGTACTCGTCAATGCTGCAACGCCGGAAACAGTGTTAGTGGAGTGAAGCAATGCTTGAGTGAATGCTGTTAGCGCGTGCGCATCACTATCTGCGCGCCCTCTGGAAAAGTGGTGGAAACGTGTTTTAGCTGGAGATGGGCTCACCACACGAAGACGCGCCGTAAGAAGCATGGTTAGAACGAGATGCTGGTTCGTAAGACATGCAGCTAGACGGAAAGAAAGCTAAACTTCGCGATGATGGACATGTTCGCCATGAGCTGTGATGACAAGATGTTTGAAAATCGGAATGCACTCAAGTGCGGCGTTCTTTCTGGCTACAGAAAACAGAATGAACGGCGTGTTCCAATGTTTGCAGGATGCCCCTGCATTTGAAAAACATGTCCCTGCTCGCACAGTCCGCTTACTTGTGAGAGACGACGCAGTGGGCTGCGGTGAGAATGTACTGTGGTGAGATGACTGCGCCGCCGCAGTGGTGAGTTCGGTAGCCATTCTGCAGAACTTTGATTTCCGCCTGCCGAAACGAACACGTCAGCAACACCGACCAGACGCTAGCTTCGCATGAAACACCGGGAAGGGGGGGGGGGCATGGACAGTTAAGGAACGCAGCAAAGAACGCGCAGACAGCACCACAACCTGCCCAAAGGTGAAGCCGCCACAAATGGCCATCACCCCGGCGAAGCCGCGGCAAAAGAAGCTACACCTTCAGAACACCGTCGGTGGCGTCATTGATTATCGGTCACCGAACGGGAAGATCCGGCAACTTGTTAAGGGGCAGCACCGCTTACCCGAGGCGTCGCCTATTTAAGAGATGAAAATATGCAGAGTATCTGCAATTTTTGACGCGTCTGTGACCTTTAAATGCCCCGGCATTGGCCTCACCTGCCATGGGAAGGCACCGTACGGCACTTCGCTTCCGCCTACAATACGCGTCGTCGCCACCAGCTTCTTGGGCGGCATGTAGAAGACCGGCTGACCGCCACAGGCCAGCGAGCGCGTGGAGGGCACGCCGCTGTGAGAGCCGCCAGTTCGAGCAGGGAACTTCATATGACCCGCCTGGCGACGCCTCCTGCAACGCAGAGGGCAGAGGTCAGTACGGAAGGCGCGGCGGTCAGATGAAGGCACGCAGTCATCAGGGGACGCGACGTGGAGTGTGCTTGAAAAGCATTGTCCACAGTTTTCGTGTCTATTATAGTTAGAGAACGATGTGAAGGCAAAGTAACCAGCCAACGTCGCGTGGTTGCTGACATTGTCAGCCATTGGTACAAAGAAATTACACCGGCTGATTTCAAAGGTGGAACAATGTGAAAAGGTCATCTTGGTCCAAATACGATTGCGAAATCTAGTTCACCCAGGGAACACGCTACCCTCAGCTGATTAGGGGCAAGAACTGACATTAGAAAAAGCAATTCTTTCGCGCTTGACATTACCGTTGAGTGGACACCGCATCAGCCGGGCCGGTGAACCCTGCAGTCATTGAGCTTCCCGAAAGGTGTACCACCCTGCAGTAGCCGATGGCGACCCATCTGATCCATACCAGGCAGCCGATGCTGTCGACCGGCTAATTAAAAGGACATCCATCGCGACGCGCGTCCATCGTGCTCGCGAACCGAGGAAAAGCAAGATACGAATCGCAAGTACGTCGTGTGACGGGTGCTAGACGGGTCTTATAACGCAAGCGCGCCGTCTGCGCACGGCGGGGTATCGAACGCAAAGCGAAGTGTCAAAACGGTGATGGGCCGGTGTGGGGATGGGTCGCTTTCAGTCGTATGCTTCCGTGTTTTGACCGTGGGCGTCAATGATGGAGATGAGAGAGAGAGGGAGAAGAGAGAGAGAGAGAGAGAGAGAGAGAGAGAGAGAGAGAGAGAGAGAGAGAGAGAGAGAGAGAGTAGAGAGAGAGATAGAGAGAGAGAGAGAGAGAGAGAGAGAGAGAAAGAGCGAGATAGTAGAGAGAGAGAGAGAGAGAGAGAAGAGATAAGAGAGAGAGAGAGCTAGCATGGAGAGAGAGAGAGAGAGAAGAGCTCAATCAGCCAATCGTTTCGACTTGGTCAATGATGTGAAAGAAAACTCACAGCAATCTGTCATAACTGAGCAGGCTATAAGTGCGTTCAGAATCAATTATTTGAAATAATTGTTTGACTTCTGGGTGCATTGCCTGCTTGAGCAAAACTCCTCCACTTCTTTAACAGAAGCACTAACATGAAGGGGATGATTTGTGCTCTGAGTTTAACGCCGACATTCGTCCCAATTATTCTGTTGGTTCTGCTGGTGGCTCTCGCGGTGGACTGACCTGAGAGGTCAGAGGGCACTGACCTGAGGGGAGACTTCGCTGCCTCATTTGACACCGCTGCGCTCGGACTCGGAAGGTCAAACAGGTAGCGCGCTCCCGCGTGCTGGCCGAGTCTGAAACAAGGTCCAAAGCCGTCAAGACAAGGCGAGGCAGAATTTGAGGACCGGAGGGGGGGGGGGGAACATTAATTAGGCACTCGAATAAGCGAATGGGTGCTCGGACTCTGATGTCAAGGCTACGAAGCCCCTCCTTTCGAAGTAGGCACGGGAATTGCAGCAGGAGACAGGCATTGACAACAGCCCAGCGGAGTAACCGAAAGACCAGCAACACCCAAAAAGAAAGGCAGCAGTTTGAATGGAGAAAAACCATCCTATACCAGTGTGAGGTTACTACGACTGAGCATTGCATGGTGCCCCCACGGGCTGTTCGCTCATTGCTGTGTAGAATCGAGATAAATGATCGAGACAACATGCGACGATAAATTAAGAAGTCAACAAGGATGGAAGAAAGGATGGTAAGCTTAGCTTAACGCCTCAAGTTTCGAAAAAGCGAAGTCGAAGCGTTGAGAACAAGCCGCAAATTGTGATTTATCTGAGCATGGCCGTCATTGGCAGCATGTGAAGACCACGCGAGGCCTGATATAACAACATCTAGCAGGGCGTGTGTCAGCAGAATGCGCTCGAGAAATAACCCTTCGCGTAGTAATGCGAACAATTAATAGCAGCTGTCATTCTCGCACCCAGCTATGCGACGTACTACGCACGTCCGCTATTCCGTCACCAAACAGGAATTATACCGGATCGGAACTGGACTTTCGACACCGCCCTGTACCTGGTAAAGTGCTGAGGCCTTAACTGACCGGGCGAGAGTGCGATTTTCATCAGCGAAGCCGCGCCCCCCGCGCCGCAAAGCGTGATTGGCTGGCACGGAGGCCCGCCAGCCTGCTGGATTAACGGATGACTCCGGTCGCGCTTTTTGGGTCAGGGAGAGGGTCGGGCCGAAGTATTTGGGTGAGCGCTGCGACGTAGTAGGGGGCATATCAGGCAGGCACTAAACCGGCCGCGGTGAGATCCAGCGACTAAGAAACGCTGGGGTTCGAGCGACTGGGTCCGTTTTTCACACAGCTCCAAGTCGCAAACCTGCGACACTGGTTTTTGACCAATGGCGGCCTTCTTCGGGCATTGCGAAACACATTTCATTCACAGATTGGCTGTCGGACTGGGTTTACGCGCACGTGCGACCGCACGCCGTACATGATGTGAACATAGCGCACGTGGCCGGGTGTTGACTGTTTCTGGTCACGGTTCTCAGGTGAAGGCTCGACAAGTTAAGCTACAATCTCAAGATGCAAACCGCCCTTTTTGCGCACCAACTGCCTTGGCACATGTCATAAATTTCGTTGAAAGGTCAATGAAAAAGCGATGTCCCCTGTCCGCCAAGGAATTTTCCGGTTAACCCGCGATCAGGGCTGCTATGTCGGAGGCTGTACCGTAAGCATCCGTGGCGTCTGCAGAAACGAGGCTGGGTGGGAGTGGTTGCCTGCCACTGTATCGGACAGTCTCTGACAGCGACATGTAGACGTGAGCTAAGCGGAGCTGACATTCATGCCACTGCAGGCAACGGGTACCGTAATCATGGCCTAAGAACAGAGAAAGAGCAGTCTTAGACGGCTCAGGCCGCCACGCCAGCGCTCCGCTGTCCCTTCGAACTGGCCTACTGATGGTTGCAAGGCCGCTAACCAACCGCCCCCACCGCAAGTCACTGTGCTGTCGCTAGGCAAGCCGGCATTAGCGGTCTCCCTCATGCAAGGTCACGTGACTGCGGCTGTGGCCAATGAGGCGCCAGCCAACGCCACGCGAACCTGCAACTTTGCAATTTCAGCCGGTGCGCAGTAGACGCCCATACTACTGTCTGTTGTTGCAGAGCGCGTTGAATGTGCGCTGACCGCTAGCCGTGTTCGAGAGGGGCGGTCGGCGGCCCAAATCACGCTGCTGACAAATGCGTCATCGATGTCGTTTTCAGTGTGACATTGCGCGGAACAAGTGCACCTAGTCGGCAAATTAGCATCACTGCTGCGCTTCTCAAGTTGAGTTTGGCATGGTAGCATATTTCATTCCGCCTAGAGACACAAGTCCCGAAAAAATTCGATTCAGCGCACCTTTGAAATAAGCAGGCTGAAAGAGTTCCCATCCCGCTGACCCAATCGCACGTAACACACTACGCAGCAGCGTAACCAGCGGGGCCTCCTTCCTTTCGCTTTGGCGACGCAACCGGCCCTGGCCCTCGCTATTGTAACCTAGCGACCGGCGAAACTCTGAGGGATGACGCCGGCTGTCCCTGGCGTGCCGGTGCACCACCGTCTGACCGCAGCTCATGTCGACTGCTGTTGATCACGAGCCCTGTCTAGTTGTTGTGAACTGCCGCGTAAAAATATGCAACAACGCCGCCGGGCATTTGGGCGCGGCGCCTGTCAACGAGCGCCCCAGTTGGGGGAAGGTGGGATGGGGAGGGGTTGTGAGCGCAGGGGCTTTGCGGATTACGCTGGTGCCGGCACGGCTCGGTTCATCCGTTCGTGCCCGGCGACCCGGTCTAACCCAGTTTTGCACGCGCGAAATCGCGAAATACGTGCGCAAATTCAGCCTCGCTCAGTAGACAAACATAACCCCTCCGCGCGGCCTTGCAACCTGTCACGGCCGGTGCACGCTGCACGTTCACGGCGAGCGGCGGTTGGGCATCTGCTGCGACATTTCGCGCATGCGCACAAGCGGGTAGCCATCGCCGCCAGGGGCCGACAGCGGGGACGGGGAGATTGGGCGGCGAAGAAAGCACTGCTGTTGACCGGCACTCAGTCTTCTAAGACTTCCAGGGGCGGTAGACAAATGCAAAGCCATCCAAGACGCCGCCTAATATTATATATATATATATATATATATATAGATATATATATAAGCGACGCATAAACACCGGGAGTCGCCAGTGTTGACGAGTGTCTCCAGTCATATCGCCACACACCGTGCCATTTACTCACTGCAGCGACCAGACCACGAACACGACTACGACGGAGGTTATGCAAGTAACCGACATACTCATTCTTTTATCAGGCAGCGAATCTGTGTGGAGTGACCCAGACGTCTCATAAAAGTTCCTTATTCGGGTGTGCGCAGATGAGCCTGTTATAAGCGACAGTCACCTGGGAGCGTCCAAAAATCAGTGAGTGTGTCGGGAATGGATGCCTTACACATCAGTTTGCCCCTCGGAGTAGTCAAGCCAACCCGACGCACAGGCGTATTTTGCTTAATCTTGGGTTTTTTAAATAACGGTGCTTGCATGCTCTAGCGACGTGGTGGTAGAGCTCTCGTCTCTCTGATTCCCGGTGGGATACGCTTTCAACTGACTTGGAATACAGCAGCGTGTCGGGAAGTGCCCATCATCCAGCACTGCACTCGCTCGGTTTCCCAAACAGGCAGATGTTGGCAAAGCTTATACCGCAGTCACGGTCAGCGCGGTGTTCGTGGTGGCGAACGGCCATGTCCTGTTGATACATCATGCGGATGGATGTACGTCAACTGTGGCCATGGTGTCAAGGCGAGGATTATAAAAGCGTCCCTATTTAGGCCAAGGTTTAACGTGCACGACCACAGGCGGGCCAATTCGGCACTGTAGGGGACCTCAGAGGGGGTGTCCTGGCGAGCACAGCCTTCTCACCTGCAGGCGACGTCCGTTCGTACGTGGTCCACTTGTCATTAAGGTTGGCTTCCTCGCCCTCTTTGGTGTGGATTTGGCACCTCTTGTAGGTGCTGTGATGGCTGAAACCCTCGCAGTCTGGGGTGTTGTTGCAGAGTTTGGCGCACTGGAATCGAGGGGTAGTGTTGAAAAACGAGAACAATATCGGCGATAAGTTTACAAAAGTTTCTTACGTTAAAAGCCATCTAAGAGAGGTTTCTGTGCTTTTCACATTAATTGGAAAGCGTAGTTCGTACTAACGCTCCGATGCATCATACTACAAATATTTATTCACAAATACTATGACATTCACATGTCTAGTTTTGCTGTCAATAGAGTGAAGCGTTTGTTTCGATGCCTCACGTTTTAGACCTATCATGACCAATGTGTTTTCATATGGTCGTTTCCTAGCAACTCACCCCAGCCAAACTCATCGAGATCCAGTAGAGACGCGATGCTTTCAACTTCTTCTCAGTTTTTGAGTATGCTGGCAGTGTCTTATCTGAAAGAAGAAACAATTGTTAATTTGTTTTTAATGCCCCCGAACGTACCATCCACGAAACTCCAAACACCAGCTTTTTTCTCAAAGCTAAATGGGTTAAACACTCAAGACGCCATGTCCACCATCGCACAACGAGGTAGGATGATATGTTACATGTGCCGGTGATCAGATCCGAATCGGGAAGGCGGCGTTTTGTTTACTCCGCCGTGACCGCCTAGAACACACTACCGCAGAATATTCGCGAGCTGATCCTTCCACAATTCAAGCGCGAGTTGCGTGGCTATATCCTGCAGCGGCGGATCAATAACAAATATCGACGCCTACTTCAAATGACTTAAGCGAATGTCAGAGAGTGCGTTCTGCGTATGTGTGCCTGCGTGTGTACGTGTTTGCGCGAGCCTCCCTGACCTACAGTGTTTTATTTCCTTGACACGGGCTCTGTAATAGCCACATTCTGAGTGGAGTGAACTTATGGCGTGTACTAAATAAATAAATAAGTGTGAGTGAGTCGTCTTGGCTTTTCGCCAGCGCCACGGTCCAGCGGCGACGCCCCGAACAACGCATTGCGGTGCAGCACGCTGCGTTCAGTCTAGGCGGATGGCCGGTCCAGCCATCTATCGGGGAAGCGTGTAACAAACTACCGATCAATCGCTGCTGGCATCGTTATGTCACCTGTATACCGTTAGTGACGTACTCATTCCAGACCCAACGCGATGTTACTGACGGCGGATAATGGTTTAAGAGAGACGATAAAGTTTATGGACGATGTGATGATCGTGGGTGATTTCATGGGCACAGGCCCATGGCACTGAAACCGTTAGATTCTGTCAACGGCAGAAATTTTAAAAAGCAGGGTACTTATTCACATATTTGCACATGGAAAGCTAGATAGTATATTAAGAGACTGTGGATACTTTGAGCTTCACGTTGTCTGGTATATAGCGCAAATACATGCAATCTTTTTGAACCTGAAATCCCAGAATCTCCGAACTTATACATGCAGAGATCATTCCGAATTTTATCTGATTTTGGCGTTATATATGAATGCTAGCGTTATACAGGCCATTTCTACTAAATGCAATCTACTTTACAGCGTAAAATCTACCGCACACTGTCTCAACTATGTAGCATTGTTATCTTGCTACCTAATCGAACGCTAGCAAATTATGTTTTACATTTGTAATGATGTAGCGCATTTATATATCCATTTTTTAGTTAGCGACTAATGGCGCTCAAATCATGTTGGCGTGAGTATCAAGCAGGATTGAAATAACGTGCTCAAACTCTTTTCTGGTTATTTACAAAAAGGTATTCAACTGAGCACTGATAATTTTGCTAGTGGGTTATTTTTTGCACACCTTCCTCATGTCAGGCAACACGACTTTTCAAACTACAGCTACGCGCGTTTGATGATGTTACCACAAAGTTGTTACCTCAAAGTTTCTGGTCTCTATGGCTAGCGACAGCGCAAATGACAAAAAGCAACGACTAAGGGCTTGTTGACTAGCCAACATGAGAGACTTTTACAAAAAGACATGCCAGTCATAATCCCGTTCTTTCTAATTTGCCTGCTTGTTTTCGGACGTTTTTTTGCCTGCTTTTGCTTTCTTGAATTTCATGGCGTGAATCTCCTTAATGCGGCAAAATAACCAGGCACTTTCGGCGCACCCTGCCGTGATAACGCCGAGCACGCTCGATCGCTTACCACACTTCTGCTCATCCCAGCCGGAGCTGCACGTCGTCACACCATCGCAGAAGTCTTTCGGTGAGACGCATCTGAAATCAGACAGGCGTAATATCTGTTAGAGTGAGCGGGCGTGTGCGCACGGCACACCTGCTGGGAAGAAGCGAGTGAAATCGCGTCATTCAGCACCGCCATGTGAGCTGGTTGCATTATAAACATTAAGCACTGTCAGGATTGATAGATTATCAAGCAAGTGGACTACACTATCACACTGTATGCACTTCCGGCGCCGCTATGGAAACCAAATAAGCCACGGAGAAAAAGGAAGTAAAAGAACAGACGCAAACATTTGTGGCAGTTCAAAATAAAGTACCACCATTGTGATGTGAAAAGTAGAGTAAAAGGAGATAAAGAGGACAAGAGAGAGAGAGAGAGAGAGAGAGAGAGAGAGAGAGAGAGAGAGAGAGAGAGAGAGAGAGAGAGAGAGAGAGAGAGAGAGAGAGAGAGAGAGAGAGAGAGAGAGAGAGAGAGAGAGAGAGGGAGAGAGAGAAAGAGAGAGAGAGAGAGAGAGAGCCAAGCCGTCTCACCTGTCGTCTTTGGTCTCTCCACACAGGTAGGACAGCACGTCCTCACACTTGCTAACCTCCTCATCGTTTCCGTACGTCACAAAGCGGGGCAGCTTAGACGCCTCTGCTGTGACTAAGGCTGAAAACACAAGACCGATTGTTATGATTCTACAAAGGCCGTTAGTTACTGAGCCCCAGCAGGCGGTGTTATTGATGCGCTTTTTAAAGACTCGTGGCTCGTGGCAAGTCTGGCAAGAGTGCTACGAAGTCCAAACAGTTGCCTAGGCACACTTAGGTTATGCCCGTTGTAATTGTGAGGACAGAGCGCCATGACTTAATGAGTGTGATTACTGTGTCATCATTGCCAGCCGGCAGTTTTCTCCTGGAAAATATGTTTTGTCCGGGAAGGGCAAGAGACTGTCAACAAGCGTGGGACTGTAAGGTTCAGCGTACTTCACACTGCAATGTGCGAAAAGATCCACTGACTACCGGCAACTCTGAGGGTGACAGGTTTCATACCACAGAGGCCAAGTAAATATAAAAGGCATCAGCTATATGGGGCTGTGCTCCGCATATATTTTTTCAAAGCGATAACTTTTTAAGATATCGCTTTGTAAGTCGGCTAAATGAGCTATGGTCAGTGATTTAAATGTCAACTGGCAAGATAACATTCGTCTTCTTCCTAGCTCTGCCCATTAAGGGCGTCGAGAAAAATGAACTGCTTCCCTGTTCCTCCACACCACTGCTCGGCGTGGATTATTACCACCGGTTGGAGAGAGCGTTGCTAGCGAGACGCTTACGCAACAGAGGGTGGAAAGGCTTCCGCTCACGTCTGCCATCTGTTGATGACGTTACCGTCCAAACGTGCGCTTTAGGACTTGGTATTGTACTGGGCAATGAGAGGGGATGGCCAAGTGATGAGCTCGACATGGCTCGGTTCGAAACACCGCGGGATGAGCGCGAGGCGAGGGGTGGAAGCTGTCGTCCGTGACACGTCTGAGAAATAGCCAACATGTGAGGTCTCAACGCCTCGGTTCGCCTGACGTACAATGGCGTCATCGGTAGATCCAGACCCAACAGATGCACGCCTGTAGAAAGCGAGCACATTACGAGACAGTCTAACTAAGCCTTATTTTTGAAGGGCCTTTTGGCACCTTGTAAGCTTCCCCTCGACTTTGAGGCGATTTCAACTGCACGTTGTTTCTCTTGCAGTTGCGGTGGGGTCAATCAGGTGTCTCGCGCGTCATAGTCAGTGGTGTAACCGAAATTGTCCTCCTCGGGGTGGGGGGAGGGAATGCCAATTTTCTCCAAGTCCTACAAATTTGGACCAAGTCTCTGCGAAATCGTCCAGCACCTGGTTTAAGCCTCTTGACTAAGGGGGAGAAAAGGAGCACATGCCCTTGGCCCCTTTCTTGCTCGACCATGACTTAACATTTTGTGCATTGCTAAGGACCGAGACAGCCTTGCAACCACGCGAAAGTTGCAGCTGAAATGACAAAGGGATTTAAGTAGAGTCTGAGTCTGGGTCTTGCAGTTCAAATGCCACCTCAAATTCCATCTGCTTACGTCATTTCTAAAGCTGAACTTTGTACATAGGCGGACACTTCAGTTTCTAGAAATGGTCTCGCACGCGAAATATTAATGCACATTTTTTGTCGTCCCAGTCTTTGTATGCTACGTAGGAGATATATTCCCAGCACCACTATACGATGTCGCAAAAAGCAGCAGTAGGAAGCTGTCATCCAATGCACAACCTCATCATTTGTTTTGTGGCCTGTTCCGCCAAGCATACAAGTAGCATACACTCGCATACCTCCTCTCACGTTGAATTGACTTGGCTCTTCATTCAAGAGCAGTATTTACATCTACTGGACACGTACTTCCGCCATGTATAACTTCCGTGTAGGAACTTGTCAAGCGAACTGAAATTCAGCTGGTGCACAATATCTACAGTGTTTTAATCTTGCGTCGCTTTGGTGCTGGCCGTCTGGATGTTTCCGATAATTATGTTAGCAGTGTCGTATTTTTACAGGCACGGGGATCCACCGGAGTCCTCCAGCTCGCTTTTACATAGCCCAGCACGCATCCTTGCGTAGCACACACTATCCGGTTCACTTTTTTTTACAAATCAGCCCATTTTTCAGCGAAGCAAGGGGCACCGCAAGGAGCCTTGTCACGCACGCGTAAATGCACACGGTGAGCTTGGCAGGTTAAGTAGCCGACAATATTATCACCAGCCCGATCAGCTAGACCGGGTGACGTTGTGAAAGCATTCCGCGGACGGTACAGGAGGATTAACAGGGGATGTACCACAGCTTTTTCGTCGCACCTCAAAAGTACAGCTCGTCGAAAAATATAAGCCTTGCGCTACCGCACTTGCATGCGTGGTATGGCTAGGACGCAATGTAGCTATTCGCGATTTTGCACTGGGTAAGATGGCGACGACGCGTTAATGTGAGCAACAACAGTGGTTTCTTTTCACGAATCACTGTCTTTTGCATTTAAGCCACGATACCGTGCAACGCTGTTGTTATTTAGGCTTAAGGACGCGTCGACAACTGCAGTCATTTTGTGTCTAATATCGCGCAACGTCTTGTCGCAGTCCTTACAGCACCACCACGCAAGCGATGCACACGAAAACCCACAGTCGAGCGAAAAGCGGCGATACAAAACATCTGGCTTCGCTGTGCACGCACCGACAGCCAACTCTGTCCCCCGTCAGGCCGAAAACGACATTCAGAGTAACCGCAAATAACAAAAAACAACTCCGAAAACCACGCGCTGCGTACGAGCGCGGCTCAACTCACCGGCACACAAGACAACTCCCAGGACCGTGACGCTCTCTCGCGACGTGACACTCATGATGCACTCCGTAACTCTCCCACTCTCGGCTTCGCAAGCGGAGAGACAGCACGTCACCGCCCGTCACGTGCAAAACGCCGCAGCTGACAGCGCCGAACAGGCCAGCGACGCACCCACGAGGCACACTGGCTGCCGGCCGGGCTGGTATGTTTATATACGTCAGACGCGGTGCGCTGACCCAGACCGCTCTAGGTCATTACCACGCCGCCAGTGAAAGTCCGAAGGGACTCGGTTATCGAGCAGGGCTGCCGGAGCGCCAGGGCGAGGAAGACACGGCGGGGGAGGGGCGGGGCGTGCAGGGGGAGGATTGAGGGGCGGTGAAGGGGAGGACTGAGGGGCGAAGAGGGGGGGACTGAGGGGCGAGGAAGGGGAGGACTGAGGGGCGAAGAGGGGGAGGACTGAGGGGCGAGGAAGGGGAGGACTGAGAGGTTAGAAAGGGGAGGACTGAGGCGTGAGGAAGGGGAAGACTGAGGGGCGAGGAAGGGATGCTCTGGTGATGAGAGGCGTTTGGAGGGATGGCGGCATTGTCATGCGTTTTGGTGCCTTTTTATTGCGTGAAGGCAAGATCCATTGCTGTGTTTGCTTGACACTAAATGCCGAGACTGCAACCTTGCGACCATCCCAAACCATATCAAGACAAAACTTTCTACACACAACATCGTCATCGTCATCGCTGCCCCCCCCCCCCGCCCCCCCAAAAAAAGTCAAACGTTACTGCTGAGGGGGTTGGCTGCCACGCGTTTACTATAGCTTGTGCGGAACCTTTTGACATGCTAGTTGTGCGGATACTATGGCGCATCGTGGCGGATACTATGGCGCATCGTGGCGCCATGGCGGCCGCCTCGGCGAACCACTTCCCAGCATGAATTGCTTTGCAGTAAGATCGTGGAGTGGCCCTGGCCCTCTTTGTTTGTAAACACGTTCTAAGGTCACAGGTGTTTTGGTGCGTTACGCCAGTTGATCAAACAGGCCGCGAACTGCGTGATTGCCGAGAGGCAGGCGTCGAGGCATCCAGGCAGCAAAACGCCTCAGCCACGCAAATGGTGGTCAAGTGTGAAGAGTGTGAAGCAAGATAGCTTGGGATAGCAATGTGTGGTCTGTATCTCGTCAGTCTTGATGGCTCCTAGCTCGAAGGACTGCGAGGGAATATGGAAAGGATTGCGAGCAGTAAGAGGCAAGGAAGTGCGTACACGGAGCACTTGAAGTGGAACTGTAGTGAGGATAAAGTGCACACTCAGTCATATCTTCTTTTCGCTGTGTGCATGATATGATATATACACAAACATTACCATATATATATATATTCCATCTATATATACACATATAACGAGACCCCCGTGTTCTGCCACGTATTGCCCCTGCCTGTTGCCTGCTGTAGTCGTACTAGTGGCATCTTGCATTCTTTTTCTATGGGCCATATCTATGGTGAGGACACCATAATTTGTTCGCGACCATTTTCAAGATGTTACGCCCGGTACATTCCGAGGTTTAGGTAGATGAGACAAAACATTTTCTGACTTAAGATGTCGAGGAACTCACAAGAATGGATGAAAATAGGAGGAAAACAATGAGCCGTAGCGTTTTGACACCAAACATTCTCAAATATGAGAGTCATGCTCAGAAAATGATTGTTTCGTTTGTGCGATACTTTTGTCGGGAAGATCGTGTTTATGGGATCGCGTCCGTGCGTGCGCGTCATCGTTTTCAACTAACCTGATCATACAGAATGCTCCAGATCGCTCCCAAATATTCGAGCAGAGTAAATTCACCCGGTTAAGACGGTTGTTAACCCGGCACTGCCGGGCTGGATCAATTCGCACAGATACGATGCCTTAGAGCACATCTGCACCGCTGTTACAATATTTCCATCAGCAGTAACAAACTGCGCGGAGGTGTGGGTATTGCATTGATAAATAGTGATGGCTTTGACCTATCAACGGGGATGGTCGACCTCCGACGCGTGATCCACATATGTCATGTTCGTATGTCATAGGAATGCCACTCACATGCTACTACATCCCTTTGTAAGTTCAGATTACATGTAGGCACATTTGGAGATACAATATGGTAATGGTCATCACCATTTGTCGTATTTGGTTCGTGGCCGTTTCACAACTTAACCTGAGCTGACCAGACGCACATCAATTCGGTCTCAATTGTGCCTGAAACTAGGGTGCAATGATGGCCGCTTTCTCATGAACAAGGACGGCAGCCTTGTGCGATGCCTCCCGCAGGATCTCTGAATAAAACGACTCTCGCTAAAGGACACATAAGCACTTGCAGAAATACAGGAGATCTTACGTTATTCATAATCTGTGATGTAAAAGACTGCATAATCAAGGTTGTTTCCAGTCAGAATCATATGAGTCATAGTCATAGTCATAGTCGCGATAACAGCAAGAGTCAACGGCCGACTTATGAATGACTATGATCCGGCCGACCATAGCGTAGACACGATGGTGGGAACGAGGTGGACGGCCTGAAGCAAACGATCCACGTTTCACTTGGTCAAGTTTGAATGTATCTGTGCATGTAATTATGTCTCATAAACAGTCAACCAAAAACAACGCTACGCTGGCATTTTTGTCAACAAAAACGGAGATAAAGACAAAGGCATAGACAAAGAAAGGCAAGACAAAGTCAAAGACAAGGACAAAGACAAAATCAAAGTCAAAGACAAAAACATCTCCGAACGACAAAGGCAAAGATATCACCGGACGACGAAGGCAAAGACGCACACACAAAACAAATTTATATCATCGTAAGTTGACAGCTGTGATGACGTAACATGCATCCAACCTACGTAACGCAATGTGTTGTTCACAGCGCATCCTTGAACGTGGTCCGCTTGTGTTGTGCTGCACGTCATGCCATGGAGCCATATGCATGCATGAGAGCGCTTTATGAGCCTGAGGCATTTGACGATTCACCGTGTGATTCACGTCTGTGCCAACCTGTCTGTTGCTGAGGGGTGTGCTGATACAGAGTCCCAGCGCACAAGCAATGTTGCATGCTGTGACACAGATCGTGAATTTGTGGTTGCATCATGTAGACTTAATGGAGGTAACAGGTGCGGGGCAAAAGAAGATCACACTCGCTCTTCTTGGTGATCTCTTCTTGCAGATGCAAGCAAGGAGAATGCCGTTTTAAATTGTTCTTAGATAGGGAGTACGAAAAATACCCGCAAGAAAATGCATTCAGCAGTTCACGGGCCGTTTCAGTCGGCATCAAGCGTTGGCGTTCCCAACTGAAAATAAGGTGTCAGGATTCTCTAGCCGGCTTGACGATTTTGAATGTTTTCCAAACGTAACTTACAATGCTTCTTCCTTGTGCAGCGTGAGCTGTTGCATTTCACAAATAAGGGTTTTACCCGCAACTTTTCAAACCTGTTTATCACTTGTTACAACATATTTTGTAAATCGTGCATCATTTGTCGAAAGCCTGTTATGCCCGACCTTCCATTAACAATGGAGGCTTTTCAAATCTCTCGCCAACGTTCAGAATGTCGGAGACAGGCGAAGCTACGAAGCTAGCTAGCTCAACCGAAGCTTCGCGCAAGAGGCGAAGCTCGGGCTTGTCCGCATTCTGAGCGATGACATCGTATTCGACATGGTATTCGACATCGACATCATGAGCAAATGACATCGTATTCAGAGCGATGTCATTTGCCACTCCCGATTGTGCCATCCGGTAGGTCCATTCAGGACAGGTCAAAGGAATACTGAGCTGATGAAAACACCTGAGGTCCTTCGCTCATTAAGTGCACTATTTCATGCAATGCTCTCAAATGACATAGATCTTTTTTCATGGAATTTATCACCCCCAGAGAAGTAAAGATTTACGTGGTTGACGGTATCGGTCGTCGTTATTCCTTCTGCTCTGTTTTTCCCTGACGTTCCGCCTGTCATTTAAGTTTCTCAACCTTTTCTCCAAGTTGTAACGCTCCGTATATGTATATATATATATATATATATATATATATATATATATATATATATATATATATGAACACATGTGTATATGTATTTAAATACATATATGAAATATATATAACAAATATATGATATATATATACGGTGCATACGCGTATCATTCCCTCCCTCCCTTCTTCGTTTACTACCGCCTTTTCTTTCCTTGCATTTCTCACACTTCCTTTCTTTTTTATCTCGCTCTTTCTTTCTAACTCTCTCTCTCTCTCTCTCTCTCTCTCTCTCTCTCTCTCTCTCTCTCTCTCTCTCTCTCTCTCTCTTCTCTTCTCTCTTTGTCTGTCTCTCTCTCTCCATACATTTCCCTTCTTCTTTATCTACCCACCTCCTTCACCATCTCCCCATCCCTCTCTCCCTCCTTCTCGCATCCCCCTCCGTCCATCTCTCCATCCTCTTCATAGCCTGGTGCCGAAGCCTCATCGCCCCGCACCGCATCGCCAGCAGGACACTCGCGTACTCCGGCCGCGCAAACGGCGCTGCGCTGCGTTGCGTGAAATCTTGCGCAATGTCTGCGTAAGACAGGAATAACGCATGCAGCGGGAGAGCGGCGACGCAGAGTGCGTCGCCCGGGGGCGGCGGCGTGGGATCATCGTGAGGGACGACGTGCAGGGTGCGCCCAGAGAGGGGATGACCTCGGAGTGGAGTGGAGTTATGGAGAGGGCTTACGTAAGAATAGTTGCCGAGCCATTGGCAGAATGGGAATCGTTTGAAACTTGCGTGTTGGAAGAGATGTGCGTCAATGGAGTGAGAGCTATCTTGGGATGAGTGTGAATCTGACGTTGGTGAAGCTCCGTGAGTAACTGCTTCTGTGAGAAGAGGGCAGACTGTGCGTCTTGGTATTCATCGTCGTTTTTAAACGGCTTAAGGTGGTTTCAGCTTAGACTTTCACTGCATCGAACATGTAAATGTTGCTGCGTATGAGCTTCCGACGCCATTGGACACGGGCTAAGTAATCGCAGACCAAGTCGCAAAGTCAGAGGCAGCTGTCAGAGGCCCCCTTTACCAGCCAGTCGCCTCCCGTAAAGCATTGTCTTTCCCATTGTGCTAGCGAATGAAGAAGTTTGAACAGGCGTACGCACAGCGAGCGCGGTCAAGTTACGCAACACATAGAAA